CTCTCCTGACACCCTCTATCCTTCACTTAGGAGCCTTCCTCCTTTCCCATTTTCCACTGAATTCTAAATCCCCTTCAATGTCTAAGAGTAATATTTCTACTTCTGATCTCTTTTTTCTTTCTGCTTTTATTAGAATGTTTTCCTTTGCACTCTTTGACTTTTCCTCTTCCTTTCTTCTCACTACAAGTGGTCCCAATGCATTATGACTTTTTTGGTGTTGCCTCCACATGCTCTTCTTTACGTTTATATTCTTCCAACAAGGCAGAAATTTGCTCCTAGATGCTCTCTAGTTCCTCCACCTACCTTTTACTCGATAAAGAGCTTTCTTCCCCTATATCACATCCAACCCCCTCTGAAGGAAAGAGAGATCTATCATATGGATAGTCGAACCATGCAGGGTGGTTGGGCGAAATTTCAAAAATTTCTCTCCCTTCAGGTAATCTTATTCCCTGATTTAGAAAAACTACATTTTTCAAGGTTCATTCTTGAAACAAACCGGACCAAATATGAAACCAAGATTAAGGAAGGGATGTACCTGATACAGAATCATCAATAGTTCCCAATGTGAGTATTCACACCCAAAGAGTTCACCAAATCCTTCATCCACTGAAAATGGCACAACTTAGAGTGAGGTGGGATCAACAAAGAGATTCTTCAACAAGAACCCCAATTCTTCAGCAAGAATCACGCAGGGATGTGAGCACAACTTCAAAATTGTTTCTTCTAACAAGAAACAATATCAAGATCTAATCTTGATCACTCCAAGAACTAAAGATCGAACAAGGTAGGGCAGCAAGAGTAGAGAGAAGATTTGAGATTCACAAAAGTGTTTAACAGAAGGATTTCTCCCTCTATTTATAGTCCTTCTTGGATTAGCTTCCTAATCATATCAGGAGAGGATTCTTTGATCCAAATCTTTATTTGGATCTGAACTCCTAAGTGGATAAGACATATCTTATCCTCTTGATGATCTAAAAGCATATCTAATCTCAAACTCACCCCTTTTAATTAATCTCATTAAACCCTAATTCGAATTGAGCTTTAGGCCCATTAAACTTTCAAGCTCATTTCCTTTTAATTGTTGGCTAGCTTGGCTCTCTTTGTATGGCGTGAGACCCTAACATTGATCTCCACAAAAGCCAAGTGGGTTTAGCCTAACCTCTATTATAAAGCCTGGCCGAATTCACTACTGAAGACAGTGAACCCCTAAGCCTATCAGTATGGGCTTTTAGTAGGCCCAACGTTTACACTAAATGGTCCCTAGGTCCAACCACCTTATGAAGGTCCAAGGACTATGGACTTATGTGATATTAGCCCATTAGGTAAAAACCCTAAATGGTCTTACACTTAACCTCTCAGCCCATAATGATCAAACACTGCCCGACAAGAAAGAACCCCTCCCTCGGCTGCAAGGTACAGTGTTGTACTCTCTGCTCACATGGATTTTGGGAATTAAAACATTTTTGCAAACATTTTGTAAAACTATAATATATATGTATATCTCTATATAATTATATTTTGCAAAAACAAATCTCAATAAGTTTGAAATCAACTGCCGGTAGTTTAGGTTTCCATCAGAGAGAACATTCCTTGATCATTCACTTTGTCCAACAAAGGGGCTGATTCTATCACTATGATCACCCACTCAGATTAATTCTCAAGCTGCCCCAACATACCCAAGTTTTGACCCCGCTAAGGATCTCACTGATTGACATATCAAAGACAGACCAATCCAATACCTAATGCAGTACCATAATCGAGTCTAGAGGTTAAGTGTAACTTTCCAATTTTGCCCATCTGTCTCCAAGGTTTAGGACATAACTGAAAAAATAGTCTGGTTCAGGGTTTCAAGCAAACCCACACTACATGTACTTTAGGCCTCACCTTAGCGACTGAGAAAAACCAACCCAACCAACTTGACAACACATTAGTGTCAACCTTGGCAGGATAAACCTCCCCAGATCTATCCAACGGCTGTGAATATTCTAAACTAACACGAGTCTCTTAAGTGTCCAGTTTAAGCGTATTACACAGAAACACACCATAATAACATGAATCAATTATGTACTTTATTCATTTACAATAAATGTCAAAAAAAGTTTTTGCCCCACCATACTGAAACTCTTTGATAGTTGCTTTCCTGGAATGGATTTGGTTGCTAGAGTATTTGTACCCTGACTGTCCTCTATAGTTGCTGCTAGATTCCCCTTATCCTCATTTTCAAGGCCTTCTGAAACTTCCTCTAGGAAAAGAGCTATGTTCAAACTTTCATCTTCCCACAACTCCTTTGTGACTTGTAGATTCACGCTTCCAAGGCTTAGAGTGTCTTCTGAGTCTGAATCTGAAACGCCCTTAGCTTCAGTTGACATATCATCATCGTTCTCAAGATCACTACGTCAAACAGACTTGGGATTGCAACGATCTTGAGAGGGTCAAGGGAGTTTTTTTCGAAGGATTCATTGAAATGAGCATGTTTTCTGATTCGGTCACGTGATGGGCTTTTCTAAAGGGAGCATGTGACTTCTTATCAAATGGGCTAGATCCAGATGGCCAAGTGATGAGCTTTTCTAAAGGCCCAAACGATACATTGGACACAGCCTGAATCAAAAGCTTGGTCACGTGAGTTTTTAAAGGGCAATCCCTCTCGGGTTGACCCAACGGCTCAACACTCTCAAGAGCCGGCTCAACTTCCTTGGTCAATCCAGTTTTTTCTTTTATGTTCAAATGGATTAACTCATTCCAATTTCTGGCGCCTGAAACTAGCACCTGAGCAAAGGTTCTTTTGGTTGTCAGTCCTTTACCTTGTAACTCACGTATTTGACCATCTATCCTGCCCATATCTTTTGGTTGGTTGAACCTGTGCTTGCCCATTTTAGTGAAACTTTCCATTTCCTCTGATTCTCCAATCCTAGACTGCCAAATAGAGCTTGTGCTTCCACGGTTCATCTTCTTCCTATCTAGCTTCTAACCACAGGGAAGCTTCAATGGAGGAGCTATCCACACCTGTGACAGTCCTTCAGCCCGAAGAGTGATCTTCGTAGGGATCTCCTCTGGTTTAACTCCATTCAGTAACAAGGCAGCAGAGCGCAAATCTCCCCAAAACTCCCCACCAAGCCGAGCTCCATGTAATGCAGCAATAGAGACGGCCACATCATGTTTCGAAAGACGGAAAGGCAGCCCAATCAACCTGACTATAACTCCATCTTCAATGGCATAAGATTTCAAATTAGAAGAAAGAGACCATTTATACAGAGTAAAGGATCCCATATCCTCTTGAAAACTCAAAGCCTCAACTTCCACCAAGTTTTCAAGAGGATCCAATACTGTCTTCTTACTGTTGAAGGGAGTTAATATGAAAGTCTTCCTTAATCCCAACTTGCACATCAAGATATCAGCAACCAACCTCCAATCCTAATCAGATTCTTAGCTTCGACCACTAACATTTTATTCCAGTGATCTATACTGAAGCTTGCATTTAATAGAGTTACTATTGTGGTTTGCCATGGCTATAAAACCCTGGGTTATACTCATCCTCCAATTAATACCGATGAGTTTGCAGCAAATAATACCTTGCCTTCTACAGTTTATTTTTTCTCCTGCTGTAGACTCCCTCCACCTATGAATCAGTTAAAATCTCAATCACTCCTCGCCACCCTTGACTGTTTTTCCCGGCAGGGAAACAGACCATTTGTTTCCTTCCTTTGTTGAAGAACTCAGTTAGGGAGATGAACGATCCTTTTGAATTCTGTTTACTTTCTACTACATATCTTCTACCTGACTTTGTGCAATTTTCCTTCCAACAGATTTGTTTTCCTTTTGTTGCTGCTTCATTCAAGAAATTTTTAATCCATTCTGCCGTCTCTAAGCCTTCCACCAGAACTGTAGCCTTCTTAGATTCCCTTATCTTTATGCTGTAACACCCTCTGATTCTTATTTCCTCAAAGATGAAGTCTTTAGCCTCCACTTTCATGGCCTTTCTCCATCTTGTAGCCTCTTCAAAGATCTGAGCTCTCTCCATCTTTACCCCCATCCAACAACCATATTAATGTTTTCCACATCTTGAAACTTACCATTGATATTGAACATAAACCCATGAAAAATTCATGCTTGCATTATCCACCCCAATGCATATTTATTATCTACACCAAACTCTCAACTCAAATTAATTGAACGAATCTAAACAAACATACATCTGGACTATTTCACTATAGTTATTGATACAGATTATCAAAATGTTGCAACAAAACCATGATTGCAGCATTGCAGCAGATGCCAACTCTAGGGGAGGGGGTATACCATTGAAAGAAAAGAACATAAACAGATATGGTATTATATTGGGGATAAAATCAACACAAACTAGCACAAGAAAACCATGGAAACAAACATTAAATACCAAAAGTTAATCACACTCTAGACATTTGTAGCTAGAGGTCTGCCGTTAGACTCAAGGGAATTCCTTAACTTCTCAAGTACCTACTTGTGACCATTTTCACCCCCTTGTATCTCCAACATTAGGGTATATTCCCCACATAAACCCACTACTAGTATATTACTTGAATCTTTTATTACCTAAATAGCATGGTACCATTGGTTTGGCTGACATTTTTGAACAAGGAGAGGCTCCGATTAACTTGACACATTTGAATCTATTTGTATAGATAGAAGTCGAATTTCTCTCTTGAAAAGAAGATCTGTTGGATCTAACTTTGTTTTTGTAACTCCAAAACCATCAATCATATGCATGCTATTAGTTTGATCCACCCTTAATTGCATGTACATGCAGATTTTACTTTCAAATCGAACTTGATACATTTCAAAGATGGCAAGCAATTTCCTGAAGCCCCAAATTCTTCAGTGTATGACCTACCAAATTCGATTTGCTCAAGGATCATATGCATGCTTAGTTTAATCCACCCTTCATTGCATGTACTGCAGATTTTACTTTGCCAAATCGAACTTAAGTAATTTGGTAAAGGAAAATGACTAAACTGAGAAGAACGGGAAACAAAGAAACTTAAATAATTTAGAACTATTTAGTTATTAAAGCATGGATAAAGGTTCTAACTTCTGAGAGAATATACATTTGCCTAAGTCCAAAATTGCAATCCAGAAAATCTACAATAGAATTTTGATTTTCAAGAGAGAGAATTCTTTGATGCATAGAACAATCACCTCCAGGCTGCTACAATCAGTATTGCTGCCTACCTGACAAACTTTCAGTAGTAATACCAGTATATTTCCCCAAGAACGCTGTTTCTTCTAAAGATGAGAAAAAAGCCACAAATGCAAACTCTGTTTTGAAGCCTTGACAATTGAAAAACACCGATCTGGCTCAAGGTGCTGCTGTTGCACATCATTAGCTAACAACATCCATGCTCACCTGTGTTCTCCAATTTAAGCCTTGCATGTATCAGACGAGATAATGACACAACAAGTTGAGAGTTAGCAAATCCTTTTGAATTAAATAATCAGCACAGTAGGCCGAAATATCAACAACCAAACGAACACAGAGGGCTTGGAATTGGAAATTACCTCGGATGGTCCACCACCATAGTTTCAAAACTAGGAGAGTCCTTAATTAAATAAGTTATTATATCGTTATGGTTATGTCTCAACCTGAGAGACTTCAAATTACAAAATGGAGAAGGCTCAGATTCTAAACCGGACAAGGTGGACAGAACCTGGGCACATGAAAAACAGACATAAAGATATATTTGAGAAAAACTAACACCTCATGATATGGCCAAAATCCAAAGCTTTTTTTTTTGAGTAAATTAAGTTATTTTCCATAAAATAAATGGAAGAAACAATTCATCAAACAGTTTCTAGCTTAATCACATAATCGGCTTATTTCTAATAAGAAATATAATGTGTGAAATTGTGGTGATACCTGTAGAGCCAGAAAAGATAATACAACGTCCTTGGCATTACGGAGACCTTTAAGCATCCCGGCCAGTTCTTGAGGAATGACACAGAAATCTTCTCCTATATTTGGTCGAGAACGTTCGAATGGACATAGGTTTATATCTACTTTATCTATGGAACAAAGGTTCTGGAAATTAAAGTTTAAGGTAACGCAGCTTTCATACTTGAAGGATGTGAGTCTGGGGGCAGAAATCATCATCTTAGGACTAGGACATGTACGATTTTTTATGGGATTCAATATAACCAAGTTTGTGAGTTGAAGAGCAGAAATACTAAAAACCTCCGTGGGGGGAAAACAGCAGTGTTCCAAGACCAAATTCTCCAGAACTGGACATGTTGAGAAGGGATCTCCACTAGTATTTTCCTCAAAATTGAAGCAACAAAGATACATTGTTTTAAGCCCCACAAAACCCATGGGGTTATAAAAGTCCATGCATTGTAAACGTGGATTCAATTCGAGGGTTCGCAGTGATTCACAGGAAAAGATGCAGGGTGGAAACTCAAAGCCATCCCCATTGATCTCCAGCTGAAGCTCTTGGACGTTGTGTCGCACCGCATACCAGAGAGCCCTTTCCAAGCGATTCACTTTGCTTAAAAAATCGACATCATCGTCTCTGAAACGGAATTTGCGAATGTCGGAGCCGTCACGACGAATCAAGATCTCATCTACTAAATCCATAAAATGATCCCATTCGCCCTCGTAGATCTCAGGCTCATCAGGGGTTGCAAAGTGCATAATGTCAACGTCGAAGCTGAGGCAAGGGATGGAAGTCCAAAGATGCCTCCATCTTCTCGACAGTACAGAAGTTCGAACGGCGTAGATGGTGTCCATAAACGATAAGATGTGGTGAATTAGGTTATCGGGCAAATTGCTGAGTCGATCTCTGCAGGCATCACTCTCCCCCTCCCCCTCTTTCTCCTTTATATTCTGACGCTTGGGCGGAGATCGTTGTCTTTCTTTCACCATGTCCATGACTCAACCCCCTTGGGGAGGAGAAAGGAGGAAGGAAAATTGGAGCGTCGGCGTCTGAAACGTGTGAAGTGGAGGAGGGTTGATACGTAAAGGTGGATACGTCGGAGTCCTACACGTAAAGGTGGAGGTTGATACGTGGGAGGATCATGAGTCATTCAGTTTAGCAGCTTCAGCTATTATCAAACAGCCCGAGCTGAAAGCGGCATTTGAACTGAACCTCTTTTTATGCTTTCGTTCTACGATTACGAGAAGTTTGGACTTCTCTCCTTTCGACATGAAGTGAACCTTATGCTGTGTTTGGTTGATTTGCATTGCATTGATGCAAAATTATCATAGTGCAAATGACTGGAATGCAAATTTTGATTTATTTTTATTTCAAATTTTATGATTGAAGTACAAAATAAAATAAATCAGAATTTGCATTTTTTCATTTGAACTCCCATGCATTTATACTGGTACAAAATCGTACTACAACCTAATTCCCATACGTGTGAACACTACCTTACAATAGGTGCATAATGCAGACTCAGATCTTCTACCCACAATTCGTTCGTTCGACATTACAGCTGTGTACGGAGAATATCTTCCTTTTGTCGTTCATGCGGAGAGATGTTTCCAATACACGGTATTGGTTTTATGTGGGTAGGAATGTATGAATAGTTTTGTGGATAGCATATATGACTATATGAGAGGTGCCATAATGTTTAGATGTCCCATCCAATATTTAACCCTATCCACACATCACACGTCCATAGTACAAGTTTAAGAGCAAGGCTATTATATTAATGGAAATGAATGCACGTGACATGTATATGTGCGTGATAAAGAATAGGGTTGCAAACGGTATCTGTTTTTCTTAATTCAAATTTGGATCCTATCCAAATTCAATCCGTATTGTATTGGATATGTGTTTACTGTATACCCACTAACGCCCTCTTAACTTTATTTAGGAATAGGGATGTTCAAATTCGAATGATAAAAGGAAAACTGAATCAAATCACATAAATTAGTTTTTATTTGGTTTGATTTGATTAATTCAGATATCAATTAGGTTTATTTTTTATTTTTTAAAAAATCAGTTATTTATTTCGGTTTATGTTGCTGCCCTTGGATGGGCCGAGGGTAACAAAGTAACTTTGCTTTCTGAGCCGGTTGATGAGTCCAAGGTTCTCTGTGACCGAGGGCCTATAAGTCAGTCCTGTGAAGAGAGAAAAAAGTCAGAAGCCCCGAGTGTTAACCTAAGGTGGGGACTGCCTGAGCTGGGACAACTAAGACAGTCACAATGGAAGTAACTAAGTATCAAGTAATAGAGAGTTTGGATCCCTCACCTTTGGGGGATTGCCTCCTATTTATACTTGAGACCACTTGGGAGTAGGTGGGCACGGACGGCTAGGATGCGGTCTGACCTTATTGCACGACCATCCAAGGTCGCCGCATGCAGTCATGCCATTGGGCCTGCGCCACACGTCGGCTTCTACTCCGCGTGCCATTAGCTTGCCACAAGCGCCTATATCATTTGCCCCTCACTCTCAAGGTTGTGGTGAAGGTCTTAGCTGAGGACCTCAACTTCGGCCGAAGAGAGTGTGTTATCCTCGCAGGGAGGCACTGAGTGGCATTCTTTGGCAAGGACCTCGGCCTCGGCTTCGACTCGTCGAGGACGTGCTTTGTCTTTGATCACGGTGGCATCGACTTAGGCTTTTATTCTGCCTTTGAGGAGTGCTATGGAGGATCGATTGCGCAGATACCTCAGCATTAGCTTTAGAGAGCTCGGCACCGTGCTGCATTCGGGTATGAGACATACGTGCCCCTCGGTCATGCATTTTGCTAGTATCGCAGTGAATCTATACGAGGCATCGGCCTCGACTAGTGGTCACTGATGGTGACACTGGTGGCGAGTGGTCGTGCCAAGACCATGCGTAGGACAGGTGTTACTACTGATAAGCTGAAAACCATACTGGGGATGGATTTTGACGCCCAATGTAGATCGTGTGTGCTACGGGTCCCCACATTAATGGGTCAGGATTGTGCTCGAGATGGGCTTTGGGTTGCAACCGTATGTGGGATGGGTCACCGCATCATGTCCATACGTGAGACGAGCGCTAGGTTGGTCAGGTCACGCTATTTTCGGTTCAGGATCACTGGGCGAACCACTCAACTCAATGAGTGGACCAGTCGACTCGTTCGGCGTCGTTTCGTCTTCCCGAGACGAGCGATGTGTGTCGGTCGCTAGATTGGGCCATAGAGGTAGTCGCTCCATGGCCGCTGGATTGGAGGTGAACTGGGCCATCCATTTTATTTTAAATAGGGGACTTGGTCGAATTCACCTATGCCATTTGCTTCCAAGAGCTTTAGACTTCAAAGACCTCGGCCTTCCTTTCTGCTTTCCTTAGAGCTTTTTTAGACTTCGTCTTCTTAGGTAAAGAACTTTACCCACAGTGATGTCTTATTCAGACTCCGTTCCTAAGTGCTATGACCTCCCTGACCCCTCGGGAGCAAGCTCCTTCCATACCCCGATGCCTGCTAGTGTGTCCGGAAGCGTGTCGTTAAGCACTTCAAAACACTAGTTTAATATTTATAAAATTCTCTGATTCTCAAAACAACTACAAACGCGGTTAATGGTGAGAACGGGTTGTATCCATAGGGAAGCAAGGAAAAATTACTATGTACTTAAATCCGGGAAAGAGAACACAATTGAGAGTTGAAGAAACACGAAATTTAATTAATTAAACTGAAAAAATAGAATTCGAACATTGCTGAAAGTTAAAAGTGCAGAAAAATAAATAAATAAACGAAATAAAAAATCTGTAATCCAATTAGAAGTAGTAGTCTCCGTTCGAACATTGCTGAAAGTTAAAAGTGCAGAAAAATAAATAAATACAGAAATAAATAAATGAAAGAAACAAAATAAAAAATTTGTAATCCAATTAGAAGTAGTAGTCTTCGGATCTCTCCTTTGACCCTCAAACTTCTCGAGCTAGACGTTTCGTCTTACCTGGCCGAATTCCAGATCTGCAAAAAAGAAAACGAAAATCAAACTAAATGAAAGTAAAATGCAGAAAGAAAGAAACAGAACTGGAAATAGTCCGAATCCAGAGGTGGCAGTAGTGGCTTAGGCGAACTGCAAGTAGGAACCCCTCCTCTTGCCTAGGCGTCCTCATCTTCCTCTACCCTTAAACTTCTCAATATCAGCCTTTTGTCTTACATGGGGGCAGAATCCAACCCCTTCTTAGGAGCCCTTGGGTCCTTTTTATAGAGAATGATGGATACAATTGGGATTAGAAAGAAAGAAGGGGTCGGAAGTTGGGTTTTAGCAAAGATATGGGCACCCTAGGGTTTCTAATGAAGGGCTAGGATGGTTCTGGGTTGATCCTAAGGTTGAGAAGAGAAGGAGAGGGCGCCCAATATTATGTAGGGCTGAGATTTGGGCGCCCAGAAATGGAGGGTGGAGATTAAGGCGCCTAGGGTTGAAAGGTGGAGATTAAAAGGAGTGGGTGGCGCCCTAGAGTGGATGGCTAAGTTAGAAAATGGAATGAAGGGTTGAGATCTAATGACTAGGGGCTGAATGGTGAGGATTAGAAGTTAGGTGGCGCCCTATGGTTAAAAAGCTAAAATGAGAGTGCCCTAAAATTAATGGTGGATATTAGAAGGGATGGAAGGTGAAGATTGAACAGCTAGGGGCGGCTAGGGTTTGCTAAGGATGAAAAGAATGAGCTAAAAGGCGCCCTATGATTTGCTAAGGAGAGGGGAGCATGCTAATACAGTAGGAGGGGGCGCCATTATGGGTTTAACAGATAGGAGGCGCCCTCCTATTCTTAGTTTTTCACAAAAACACCCCCTCTCTTAGCTGGACTTTACACCAGCTTCCCAAAAGTTGCATTTCAGCCATGTAACTTCCCCAATTTTCCACAGAAGTTGCACAGAGACCCTCAGATGTCACAACATTGAATTTAGTTGGGAAAAGGGCACACTTTGATTATTCTAAGGCCGAAAATACCCCTGAAATGATGCCCTTAAGGCATCAAAATACAGAGTTATCACACCCCCAGCTTAACCATTGCTAGTCCCTTAGCAATGCAACTTTAAAATTATACTGAGTATATAGATCATTCCCACTGCAAGATCATCCTTAACAAAATTAGCCAATTATCCTGATTCCAGCATTCTCAAAATTTGTATAGATCGGTGTTGGGCTTAAGGGGTAAAACTATATTGTTTTGAATGTTACAGAAACTTTGCTTAAAAATCTTATATACCCTTCCATTTGCAGACTATCTTGATAAGCTAAGATTGATTTTTCAAATCAGGTGGGTATTCTTCTTATCACTTTTTACAGTGGGTTTCTACCCCTGAAGTTGATATGCACACTTATTTTTATTGTTACCTTCCACCGTTTTACGCGAATCTCGACACTTGTCTTAGGTGAAGAGACATGTTTACTAAGTGTTAGGTAAGTGTCTTTGGCATTCTCTTTTCCCTTTAACACGAATCTCAACACTTGACTTAGGTGAAGAGACCTGATTAATAAGTCTAGGGTGTCCATTGACCTTTTATTCTTTTTTTTTTTGCAACATTGTTCAGGGCAATCCACTGTTTCTAACAATTTGAAGATTTTTTGTCTAATTTCTCTATCTTTCTCTTTTTATCTTGGCATGGGCAAACTTGGGAGTATTTTCCAGTTTCTAAATGGTTTCGACAATATTCAAATAAGACCAATTTTTACTCCTATCACTTGCTACCAATTTCTATAAAATTCAATATTCTTTTATTAGTTTCCTCAATTTTTTCTGTTTGGGAATTTCTTTTAATGGAAGAAATTTTAAATTTTCTAGTGAAATTTTAATTCTACATATTTAAAGGCTTAGCTTCTCAATTTTTTTTTCAAAATTTCATTTTTTTCTCTCTCTTCCTCACCCCCAACTTAAGTGCCATTGTCCCCAATGGCACGACTAAAATGTTGCAAAGGACTTGTGCCAAAGGGAACAATTAAGAGGGTTTTCCCAAGGGGTTCAAGGGCTGCCAACTAGTCTCAAATCAAGAAAAGAAAAACTCTAATCCTAACAGCAAAAGCAACTGAAAACTATGTTGGGTTGCCTCCCAACCAGCACTAAGTTTAATGTCTTCAGCCAGACATATTCACTCACTTCTCTCTGTATCACTTAAGCCTATCTTCTCAACCTTTCCGCTC